AGCGGTTGTAGGACAATAGTGACAAAAACCCCCAAACCAAACAACCATCCCCCCCACCAAACAGGAGCAATTTGCCAAGTTCAGATGATATCCACCAAAGAAACTCAAGGATGAAATAATTGAAGTATTAAATGCGATGTGCATTGTCTTGGTGACCACACAGGAAAGTGGGGTGCACAGGGAGAAGTCAAATAAACTTTTCTGAAGTGAAGTCACAGCTCAGTCACACTGCAGGTCTTTCTAGATTTCCAAAAGCCATTCAGTAAGGTCCCTTAGTAAAGACTCTTAAAAAAACCCTCATGTCTCTTGGGACAAATTGAAAGACCACACATGAATAACTGGTGAAAAGACACAAAACAAAGGCTGGTGTGTCTCCAATGGGAGCTCTGTAGAACTGTGTTCAAGCTTGTGCTCTTCAGCATGTTTGTTAAGGGTAAATAAAAGGATGACAACATTTGTTGATGACACTAAGCAATTCAGAGTAGTGAAGACAAGCACAATCTGCAAACAAATGAAGGAAGAGTTAGTACTGCTGAGCGGGCAGTAAAATGGCAGATAAAATTCACTGTAGATGTGGACATTTAATGCACATGGTGAAAACAATTCTATTTTTAGATAAAGATGGACTATGAGTTGGCCATTACCACACAGGAATGAGAAACTGGCGTGATGATAGAAAGCGCTATGAAAATGCCAAATCACTGCAGAGAAAGAGCAAAAACTACAAGGAATTACTGGGAATAAAGCACAAGGCTGAAAACATTATGCCAGCATTTTAACTCCTCGCATAAGAGAACAGGAAGGAGAAACACAGATGACAACATTTATGAAAGGCACCTGAACACAAAGACACTGCCTCCAGCTCAGGGAACCACAGAGCTATGAATTACTGGAAACCAAGCGAGTCGTGCGGAGGCAACTGCCCTGCTCTTACACCTTTCTGCTATTGGTCAGCACTGCAGACAGGGCATCGGCAAGAAGGACCTCCGCCCTGACCTGGCCGTTTTTATCGCTTCTTATCTCTTGTCTTTATTCAAAGCTGGAGCCTTGGAAATTACATTGCAACTCTGAACAAGGACAACAGATAGCAATGATTGCTTTGTTGACCCAAGCCAACGTCCACTGAAACCAGGAGAAGGAACCCAGAGGAAACCCAGGAAACATCAAGACCCCAAGCTGACGTCCTCTGAGGTCAGTGACACGTGTCTTTGACTTCAGCACAGCAGGATGATGCCTACAGCGAGTTACTCATGAACAACTAACAAATTCATAAGCCATTTCACATAAATTGAGGTAATTGTATTACCATCAAACATACAGAGAGCAGAAAAAAAACCCAAACCAAACCAAAACCCACAAGACATCCGCTATCTTAAGGCACTGATAAAACAATGTGACTGATATGAGTCAAGTCACTGATCACTGGCTGGTTATAGGGGATGCACAGCAACATGAAACTTCTTATTATATGAATGGGCTACTAAGAATGACAGGCCAGTAATTTCAGTACTTCAGAGGTTTGGGTTTTTTTCTTTAAATTATTATGAAGAAGTATGATGAACTTGAACAAAGCAAAAGGAATCCAAACAGAAAGAAAGAACAGTACATTTACCCCGGCGTATGTCAGAGAATGTTATTTTCTAATCACAGTTATCACCTACACAGATGTCTGCACATTGGAAATCTCTGGCAAAACTCTATTCATTCTGTTTTGACATAAAAATACAACGATACAATTCTGATGCAAAAAAAATCAGAGGTCAAGCAGTCTCCTTGCTGCTGCATGTAGTAAAAACAATAGCAAGCTCATCTTCACTGCACACAGTTTAGCTCGTGTGGGTGCCAGTCTAATGCTTACACATAAAACTATGATAAGATTTCAAACCCTAGGTAGTATTTACTGATAATATTTAGGTTCAGCTTGCATTCTTGTCCACGTCCAGAGAGACAAAGCATCACCCTAAAATATAATGCATTAAAAAATACAGAAGACACAGATGTTTATTTCTTCTCAAAAGAAGACTGAAAGATAAAAGATTCTGCAAGTTTATGGTAACCTGAAATCTAAGGAAGAAAACATCAGCTCCTTTTGGGGAAAGGAGTCTGTCTCAGTAAATGTTTAAGACACCAGGCGCATGTTGGAGCCACTTAAGCGAAAACAATTTAGGAGTATTATGAAATGCAGCCACTAACAGAAGAATGTATGGATACAGGTATTTTAGAAAGCTTCCTTTAATCTTAAGATGTTTCTAGTGCACCAATGAGACAAAATTATCTAGTGGAAATAAGGAAAATTAATAGGGGGAAAACAGTTCAATATGATCAACAGATACATTCAATTTTTTATCATCATATTTGCTTCAGCAGAGCTCCATCGTGGTGCTCTCACCAGCAAGTCTCTCGGGAGCCCTAAGGGCAATAGCTTGTCCATCTGCAGAGCAGAAATAAGCCTGTCCCAAAGTACACTGTAAATGAGTAAGTGAAAGTCTCTGTGCAGCTGGCAGAATCTTACGACTGCAATTATCAGAGAGCACAGCAAACTTTTTCCATATGCTTTCAAACAAATTTCACAATTATGTTTCTTTGGTCGTAGCCAAAAAACCAAATATGCTCCATTATAAGGATTAAAATTAGCACTGCCAATGAGAAGTTAATGCAACACATTAAGAATACCAAGTCCAAAATGTGGGGTTTATACAGGATGAAACAGTTCTACGGAGGAGAATTCAGTGACTTCCCTCTCTTGTACTGAACACACTAACAGTTAGCAGACTTGGAAAAGCATTCATCCTCATTAGGTCTGAACTCACACACACATAAATTGCTGCATAAAACAATATTGGAACTTAAGTTAAACAAACATTAAAGCTTACTCTTGCAAACGCTGTGTATATGGAAATGTGAAAAATCTAACTAACGGGGGAGCAGGTCCCCATACCTTAAACCAGCCTTTTCTGTATGCATCCAAGTGCTTTCTGTCATATTGTACACACGTTGGACAACTACAGCCATACAGATATACAATAAAATCTATCATTTCTGTTTTATGTAAAAGACAGTAGGTTGATACTGGCAACAGAAAAATCAAGGTTAAGAGTTAGTTTTAAATGCCTTCTTCCTTTCAACAGCTCACAATTATTTCTAAGGTAAGATTTTTAACTCCTGTCCTCTGTTAAAACCTGCGTGTTTTATTTAGTTGAAACGCTGAGAAAAATCATTCCGTTCTTTTTGGGTCAGTTGTTTATTAAATTAGCTTTACGATCTTTTTTTCTTGGATGCTGATTTGTTATTAAATACTATCTGAAGAAACATGCACATATGGGATTCCTTTCTGAAAAGTAGTTTATGTATTGAGTATGAAAAACACATTTTGACTGTTCCAAACATAAGCAGTAAATGTTTAGCATGCAATATCACTCACGTACAGCATGTAATAACCTTATTTTTGTCATGTAGTTACAAACTAGTCTACCAACTGTACAGTTATCTTCGTTTTTTCAATCAAATCTGAAACTCCTAAATACAGCAATAATTTTTTTTTCTCTTAACAACCAAGTTCTTTTATTATTTTCCAAAACTCAGTTTACAAGATTTCCAGTCTACTTTTTACCTCCCTCGGTGGTTTCAGCAAAGATTAAGGACAATCAATTCTTTCCAAGCTCTCTCCTGGAGCTTGTGTCTGTTACCTCATTTCCTGGCTCCTATGAAGCAATGTGAGACAAGACTTTGGTGAAAACTATCACCAAAACATTTACATTTCCAAATATTGAGTTCAGTTCCTCAAAAATATAATAAACCCCATGGCATATGAGATTGAACTTCCTCATCCATCACACTCTCTTTTCCTTCAGATGTTCATACAACCAAGAAGGATTTTTAAAAAATTTTTGAAATGTTTAAAAAATGTTACTGGATAGTTTTCCAACCCTCCCAAGCAACCATCCCTTCTCTTCTCTCCTTCATATTTCCCAGTAACGTATTTCATGAGACACTCCAGCCCTTGGACACAGTCAAGGTCTTCTTACCCTTGATTTGGCCATCTCTCTTCTAGCTCTATTAAGCACCTCTCTTTCACACTCATTCAAACCTCAGCATAACATATAGCACCACATTGTAAATAAATAAAAAAAAAAGAAAATTGTTTTCCTTAACATCATCATTCAGGCAGATTTGTCGATCAAGTAAATGAAGAACCAGATCTTCATTAAAGATCAGATTATATTTAAGCTCAGGGCCTACACATCATTTGATATTTAAAAGCCACACAAGCCAATTTTACTGCTGTAATATAAAAACTTACCCACTTGGCAATTGGACACCCTTGAGAACTTTTTCCTTCCTTTCCTGTATAAACCACTACCTCTATTCTTACAGCGCTTCCTTTTGCTCCATACCTGCATTAAAAAAAAGTTCATGAGTAAACCAAACTGCTGTAGAGCGCTTTAAAACAGAAAACATTTTCAATAAAACAAGAACAAGTTTATTTTTACTTTACTGAGAACAGAAGAAAAACAAAATATTTATCATGTCAAAAATACTTTTAAATTTAAAATCTTTTTACAGGAGTGATTTTTGACATCTCTCTTCTGATAACAAGCTTCTGCCACTAAGGAAACATTATTTGGGGAATAAAGTGTTATCTGCATGTAAATCCTAGTGCACTTCGTCACTAATGTGACCCTCCTGTCCACTTTGACACAACTTCTTTGCATGCAGGACACTAGAAAACCTATTTCTGCCAGCTGCTGATCTCTGTCATTCCTTCTGACTTCAGTGGCACCTAAGAGCATGCTGCACTTGAAATTCAACCCTAAAGTTGCAAGAGCTCAGAAAAGACACGTGAGTTTGGAACTGAAATGCTTGTGCTCACCTCACGCACATCTGAACAAGGAACACTTTACAAATGACTACTGCAAAAAGCTTAGAAAAACAAAGCTAAATTGATCTCTTGTAGCTGATTATCTTTCTGTTTAGACAGTCAAAAATACTGCGAGCGTTAAATGCTGACTTTTTCTCACCTGTTCTCCATTATTTCTCTCACAGCAGCAACACTTGGTCCTGTCCCGAGGTGTGTGTAATATGGGCCTTCATCTTTCTCTATAATTTGCTCTGTAAGCAGGTTGAGAAAAGTAAGTTGGCACATACAAAATTTTCTTACACCACTACAAGTAAGCTTAGAAATGGTTTACAGAAACGTCTTCCAAATTAATTTACGATACCTAAAATTTGTCCCCAAAATGTAATGAATAAGAGTATCACAGATTTTTCTCCTCAGAGGCATCAATATTATTTTACAGTTGTTTCCTCCTATTAATCTGCTATTATTTTTTCTTGATGCTGTAATCCTATAGTAATATTTTGCATTCTTTACAAATTTTCATTACAGGAGCTGGCACGTATTGACCAAGTAAGCTTTCCCAATATCCTTGTTGGTAGGAAAACATTATTAATTCATTTTAGACAAAGGAGAATTGAGGGGAAAAAAGATTAACTGATAGTCATATACTATAGAACAGCAAACATAATCCAGGCCTCTTAACTAGCACTCTGTTGACTCAGAACATTAAAGCAAAGATGACACAAGCTGCCTGTGTACAATTTGTTGTTAAGTCTCCAACTTGTTTTTCCATCTGTGTGCTTTGATAATCTGAAAACACAGCATGTCTAACACCATCAGCCAAGCTGTATTTACAAAATCCTCAATACTGAGTTTGGTCTGACAGCTCATCCTGCAATCCAAATTATTACATATGTGGCCTTCTGACCCGAACTCCACCTTACTCTCTCCCCTCTGCAATGAGAGGCATCTAGCAGCCTTTGCCACAGACTCTTTAAGGCAAATTGACATCGGTCATCAGGACTAACAGTGACCATAAGAGGACCGCCCTTGACTATGCCCTGCTGCTTATCTAACGGCATTTAGGCAACAGTGACCAATATCCTAGGAATTTTTTGCCCAGCCCATCTCAGGCAAAAACTAGTTCTAGACCATAAAAATCAGGATCTGCTGTATTGCAGATAAATTCATATAAAGCACAAGTCAGCAATGACAAAACAACAAATAGAAAAACTCCTTTTCCTCCTGGGTTTAAATTTAGGTAGAGAATTTAAACCTGCCAACTGCAATACCAAAAACACTCCATTCTGCTGTGCTTGGCAGGCCCAAAGAACACGAGGCAAAAGCTACAGAAAGGGAAAAAATAATTTCCTCTCATTTCCTAATGGAGAAACACTGATCCTTCTGCACCAGCTAAGCAAGTGTCAAGCACACATTAAAGGAAGCAACATGAACACACCTCCATCTGAGAGGTAGAGGCAAAAGTTAGCAAAAAGACTTACCAACACAGTCACAAGTTGGCAATTCAGATTGTCCTTTTTTTGTAGGTGTATCTATTAAATTTTTTGTAGGGGTATCAAGAAACTTCATAGGTGATTCAAGGAAACTGCTGAGTGTGTTTTTTGCTGGAGAACACCCTGAGTCGCCTGTGCTCTGTGGGTGGTCAGTACCCAAACCGGTTGACGTCAGAACGGTCACTTCGCCCGCACACTCCATGTTCCTGAGAGCTTCAACAGAACCTGGTACCTGGGCCCCACCAGAGGGAACAGGCAGCACCTGCGACTTCGGATCTACTTGTTGTTCGGCAGCACCCTGCTGGATATAGGTTTTGCCTTCACTACGCGTTTCGTTAGCTCTCAGGTTAGACTGATTAAAATGTTGAGGCAAAGGATGCGTCTGACTGACATTCGCTCTTTGCTGTACCTGAGAATTACATTTTTCTGTAAACATCTGTAGGTTTTCACTTGGTCTGTTCAATAAGGATGCTGGTTTCAACTGTGAAACAGCCAGAGGATTACGGGAGGACAGGTTGCTATATTGGTTATGTGCAACAACTTCACTTTTCACTGGATCAATGCCTAGTGGGTCACCGGAGCCTGCAGTTTTGATTTGCTCATTCACCACTTCACAGCCAAACGACCTGTCTTTTTTTTTCTCTTGCGGTACCTCAGGTAAACATCTATGGAATTTTATCTGCGTTTGTGGGAGAAATAACCTAGTTTTTTCTTGTGATGCTAAAGTATTTTGATTCAGTGCTCTCTGTACTTTGGTTCTCGGAGATTTTTTTTCAGATGGAGCTATTCGGGAGTCCTGTGGCATGGTTTGACCAAGCTTGTGCAGTTTTGATGATATCCAAATGTCCTGTAACTCGCTATGCTGACATGACAACAGCTCTAGCTGGTTTTGATTATTTTGTTGATAGCGTGCTTCTTGAGGCTTCTTTTTGTGTCTTGGTTTCCATGGTACAGCATTTCCTTTTTTATTTGTTGGTTGTTTTTGCTTTAACAGTAAGGAACTATAATTATGCCTAAAAAACACAGTTTCTTTTTTCTGCAACACATCTTGGTTATATTTTGGCTGCCTCTCATGTGATATTAGATTAAGCAGTGATGCCTTTATATCATTCTTCTGCTGTGGATTTGTCTGGTTTGATTCAATTAGCGCCGCGAGTTGAGTGAGCTGTGTAGCTACATCCTCTTCATCCTGGCTGTGAATTCCTCCTTCTTTAATCAAAGAATTAGCTTCCAAGTTCAAATCATTACAGGTTGGCTTTTGCTCTAGCTGGCCAAGAGTTTCCAGGTTGTTACTTGTTTGCTGGACACTATGTGAAGCATTGCAATACCGCGCAAGGGTGACTGGATCGTGAGTATAATTTTTCTTGGTAGTATATCCTGACAACGATTTTGCATTAGACGTTAAGTCAGTTTTGGTATCTCTTGAGGATAACTGTAATTTATACATCTCGCCAGCCAGATTGGCAGGTTTATCACGCAATTCAGAAATTGAACTTTGGCCATTGTATAACACTGCCTTATTAGGGAACTGCTTCTGCGAGTGAGCACAGTGAGCCAAGAGCTGTTGCTCATTCTGTAAGTAAGTGTCTTTGATTTCTTTTAATGCAGAAGATGTGAAGGAGGAGGAGATATCCCTTTTGTAACTATGGAGCAAGTTGGAAGTTGTTTCTTCTGTACATCGAGTACTTTCAGTTTTAGCTGGTGAAGGTGTTTCTAAAGGGGCTTCGGATAACTGCGTTAAAGCTTCAATAGCTACAACCTGCTCTACAGTTAAATTTCTGGTTTTAATCAGGGACAAGAAAGTTGGCTGGAGTGAAGACTCCTCATGCTGCGTCTCTGTGTTAGGTACTTTAAAGCCATCCTTCCCTACGTACGCTTCCTCTTCAGGCAGTGGAGGACAACACAAGCCTTCTTGCAGATCCAAAATGGAACCCGTCTGCAAAACTGCTTTCCCAGAATCTTCAAAGATGCTGCAAGTGCAGTTTTCCTCTTTCATTAAAAAATTTCCTTGTTTTTCTGGGTGAACACAGCCAACGCCAGTCGCCAGAGTATTTACTATGTTATTCAGATTGGTACCCTTCGTCCATTGCATATGGGAGTTGCTTGTCAAATCTGTCCTTTCCTCTATGGATACTTTTTTCAGCGAAGCAACTGCTTCTGGTGGTGAATAATGTAGGGTTTTTATGCCATTTTTGATGGTCTGTGCAAATGATTTTTTTGGCTCAGCTAACTGACTGGGAGAGACTGCTCTTTCACTGTCTTCAGCGTTTTTCAAGTGTTCGTTGCCTGTCACAGTTCCATGGATATCTCCGTTGACATGGACACCAAAAGATGGCTTCTCGTTATGTGCCCACTTCTCTGCTTCTAAGCCTGTCATTCTTTCTTTCTCCTTACACTGCACATTTTCAATGGATACTGTTTGGTTTGTTTTCACCCTGTATTTTTCACCATGACCACATATACTGCATTCCATGAGTTCTGGTCTGCGGCCATTTACTGGTTTGTTTTCTAAATTTGCCTATAAAATAATAATAAAAAAATTTTTTGTAACAGCTGTTCAAAAACATTAAAAATAAGAAACATAAGATTTACAGCAATTAAACCCTACTTTGACAGATATGAGGAATATCCTAATTAAGCACAGGCACAGACTTTGGAAAAAACCTCAGGAAGTCATAAAAACCCCCTGAAGCCTAAAGACCCTATCCATATTTATAACTATTTTTCCCCACTGTTGGGGGGGCAGAGGAAGAAGGGGGGTGTGTGTGCATGTGGTGGGAGACTAAAGAAATGAATGGACATATAAAAGGACGTTAGCACTTACAATCAGATCTAAGGATTCAATTGTTAATGAATTTGCATACGCAGATGAAAGTCTCCCCTAAGTTCAAAGCAGGGCTGAAATCTAAAGGCTTCTACCACAGAAAGTTCAGTAGTAATTTGCTATAATCATACTGATTTGGCTAGACCAATAAACTGATACAACACTTGGCTGGATGCCCTAGCAAGAATGGCTGGTTTTCAGGCCTAGTTTCAAGTCCTTAAAAAATGACAAAACCAAAGCTGAAAAGAACAGTAAGCCAATGAACATTACCTCACCTGACAGTTACTCTCTAAACACTATGTTTAGAGGGTAACTTCCAGGTTTCTGAACAGTCTCTCATATAAGCTATCCCTAATAGTATTTTAGTAAACTCTAGATTCTAATATTTGGTTAAATATATTCTTCATCCTCACTGATATTACACAATTCATGTAGCTGAAGCAATGTCAAGATCTAGAGAGAGTCAGAATACTGTGTCCTGGAAAGAATATGTATATGGGCCTTAAGACAGTATTATGGATATGAAGTAAGGAGTTATGCAAATTAAGTTTAAAAAAAAAAAAAACCAAAAAACTAAGGCAGGAACTCAGGCAGAAATAGGAATAAAGGCAGGAATCCAATTCTTATTACATTAATAAAATGTAATAAGTCACAATGGACAGTGCTAGTACTTAATCTTATTGTAACATCTAAGAGTTATTTAAATGATCTGCAGCCTTAAACCCTACTTAACAAGAAAACCAGTACTGCTTTTCAAATCAGATATAAGCAATACAACTGGTTAATTAACCATACGTTGGCCTAGTACATTTTAGCAGTTCCCAGAAAACAGCACCCAGTTTAACATAAAACATTCAGTTAAATCAGACGTGGGTTTGTGTTCACGCCAACTAAATTGCATGGACTTCCCTGAGAAAATAACTGAGAAGAACAAATGCAAAATGGATCTATGATTAATTATAACCATGGAGATGGAACTGTCAGAACCCCCCAGCCAAAACAATGCATACGGACCCAGGTCCATCTCTGGGAGAATCCCAACCGATTCTCGACTGATAAAAAAACAAAACCATGAATCCATAGCATGCCCTAGAGGCTATGGGAGGCATCATAAATTCTAATGGAAATGTTATGTAAAAACATGTCCAGCACCTATGCAGCTAAGTCAAACCTAGGGAAATTATATTAAGGAAGAAAGATACCTTATTTAATGCTTTGCCATTACACACAGATGCTGACTAATGGTCAGGGAGCCTGAACTCCTCTGGATCCTGGCCACTTTCAATCAATGATCCACAGACCCGGGAGGATCACTGAGCAATTTCTAAGGGATCCCCAAAAGCAGTTGAGCTGCTCTATTGTTACCAGGGGTAAATGCATTCCACAGGCCTCTCCAACTGTACCAGAAAATATTTTAAGGGTCCACCATGGAAAAGTAAAAGCCCACAATTCTATACCTTTGCAAAAGCTGAATTTCAATGACCTTAATTTAACTTCAGAAAGAACTAGGATATGAAATTGCTGTTTTTTCTTCAGCAAAAATATATCTAAGATTTCTATCAGTCCAACCATTGTCTCAACCATGTAAAAATATTATTAAAAATTATTTAATTAGACAATTAGGAGGGTGAGACGATAGAAGCAAACAGATTAAAATAATTCCCCAGTATTTTTATGTTTTCAACATGACAACACATTTTTATATTCCTTTCATCTTTAGAGGGTGTCACTCACTACACTTTAAAAAAAAAAAAAAATTAAGTCTGGTAAATTGAGAGTAATGAGAGTTGGGGGGGAAGCAGGAGGGTTCATCCATGATCAGCAGACACAAAGTCCACTGACAGCACTCAAAGTGCTAAATTGTCATCACACTTCTCTGTTAACTATGTTGTTCTTCAATAAAATACTTTCATCTGACCAAAAAGCAGCACTACATTCAAAAATACTCAGCATATTCCCTAATCTGCTGGTAGTCCACAGGTGCAGTGCTGCGTCCCCATAAGACCCCAGTGATCCAGCAGTAAAGTGGCGTTACTTTTAAAATAAAATTGTTCCTCATACATCATAATTTCCACTAACATTACTGGAAGCTGCCCACATGCAATGAGGAAGAAAAAAGAATCGGGTGAATCATATCATTGGCATGATTTGGTTCATATTTTATTTTTCCACACAAAGAATAAATATTATCATAAAATCTAATATAATTTTAAGTCAAACTCTCTTCCTTTTGAGCACTACGCTGCTTTTTCTCTTCTGTTACTGAACTGCAATCAATCCTAAAATACACCTCTTTCTTTCCTCTCTTACCAGACTTTCCAGTGGCCTTTTCTGTTTAACATGCAAAATTATTGTTTCCCAACATAAAAAGAAATGCAGACATACTAGGAGGGGCAGAGCTCATTTGATTCCTCTCCTCAATGTAACTCTGGCGGACCAAAAGTAATAGCTCAGCAAAAACCTTTTGCAGCTGAAAAACCTAGGGGCAATCTACCTTCATGTCCTGAATCAGGACTCAAAAAAAAAAATAGTGAAAACTACAGATAAGGGTACCACAATTCCAAGCAACAGTCTTAAAATTCATGGAAGTTAAGCACGTAAATCTGATCCGATAAGATTTCTAAATCTTTTACACGAGTGTAATGAAGAGCTGAAGAATAAACCGGATCAATAAAAGTAATTTCCCCTTTTCCTGATTAAGGAGAGCACTACTCTGTCTGGAGACTTACAACACTAACAAATCATGCTCAAGCTTAGACTCTGCAGTACTTGGTGCTATTAGGACAGGAGCCATCGAGTACAGTCTGCCATAGCCGTTGCTGTATTACTTAAACTTCAACCAGACATTATCTCTTATATACACACACACACATATATGTACAAACACACACACACAAAAAAATTTACTCCGTGAGCTAATGCTTCCAGCACACATGAACAGCCAGTTACAGCAAACCATTTCACCATTCTGAAAAGGGTCAGACTTAATATTAACTTTTAACACAAGATGCCTCTAGGCTAACGCAAAGAGTTCACCAATTCACAATCAAAATACAATGCTAAAGCTACCCTAAAGACATTTCCACATCTTCTGTACAACAGAGAGCAGGCCATAGGTTTACATCTCTTGTTTCAAACCTCTGTAGGTGGTAGCAACACGTGTTGTACTAAAGGACACAACCGGAAACACTTACTCCCATAAACCAGAAATAACAGATAATGCCCAGATCAACTCCTGATAAAACGGCTCTGTAAGCAAGTCATGACAAGTTACACGATAACCAATGCCAAGTCCCCCTAACTAGCCCACCCTATAGGATTCTGCCCAGGTCCCCACGAGAATACAGTACCCAACAGATCAAAAACTACTTGCACCTCCTAGCTTGTGCCAATAACCAGGATATCCCAAAAGGTAGTTCTTCCATGGTCACAACAGTCATCAACATAAAAGGACGAGTGGGTGAGAAGCACTTGCACTTTGCATCTCTTTCCCATTGCAGCGCATCGGGTAAGTTTGGATCCTGCTGCAGTGTCCACAGCCACGCAGCCAGCCCTACATACCCTTCCACGCTGGCACAGAGCTGGCAGATCCTCAGAGCTCAAATACCACAACAGAAGTTTTCTTTCAGAAAAACTGGTGGGGAAAAAAAAAAAAACCAAACATACTACATCTAACTTTCGAACAGGGTGTTTTAGTCACAGTCCAACTGTCAGATGTTACTGCTTCACCAAGAAATAAGAAAGCACCAGCCAGCTGACCAGCAGCAATTTACTGCTATGCAATCGATTCCTACTCCCTAGCGTCCCTGCTCCCCAGGGCATGCAGGAATTCAGTGGAATCCAGGACATGCACTGTACAGGGCCCACGTAGAGGGATAAGGAGATAACATATGGACAGGACAGGGGATAGGGAGACAAAGAGCACAGGTATGGACAAACAGTTGCTTATGCTGAGCGCTATGTAAAAAGCCATGCATTGGTTAGAACAGAGACAAATGTAAGGCGGGATGCTGTGGAAAGTGTAGGCCACCTTCTAAGTACAGCCAAGTTTCTCTGCATTTGAAAATAAATGCAGATACGATAATACATTTAAGCATAAACCTCTATTTAGGACCATACTACTTCACGTTTGACTACTATAAAGCCCACGACAGCAAAGTTGCTGCCCAAGGCTGCAGCCTGAGCCGGGTTTCTGAGCAGGCTATGGGCAGAGAGAGGTGAACAGCTGAGCAGGGGCCAAGCTGCGAGCTGGGGCGTACCCCCAGGAACCTCACCAGAGGCATAAAGCAATTACCACCACACTTGCATAACAGACATGGACACGAAACAGTCTCTCTGTATACCTCAGTTCTGCAGCGGCTCAGGTAAGGCACATTTTCTTCGTGCAGAGAAACAGATTGGGGCCCTTTATTAACGTAACGCAGCCTGCATATACAAGATGTTTCTTTCCTCAGGAGAACAATGTTCACAGGTGGCACTGAGGAACAGGACAGGTAACAATTCTGCATTTTAGAAGCTACTGCAATCAAAGCAAATAACCTCTGCAAAATGATGTAGGCGAGTTTTAGCAGAGAGGCTGGTTTATACGGAAATTCAGGGGGACAAGAGGTTCTGAAAATCTGGAGAAAGCACCCCGACCTGGGACATGCAGCAGAGATTGCTCAGGATGCCCAGGCTTTCCTGGAGGGACCCCC